ATTGTATTATTTTGTTTTACTTGTCCTGAATATTCATCAGTTTTCGTCTCAATGTCCGCCAACAACAATCAATTAATCAATTAATCATTTATGATTTTTCTATCATTTGCAAATGCTGAAAACTATTTTGCGATTCAGATTTTGAATTAACTGTTCACTCCCTATTGGCATTGACGTCTTTTAACCAAGTTGAGGCTTTGACTGCCAAGATTCAAATCACTTGCTTCACCAGAAATAAATTCAAGTTACGCTACTGTCGATTGCTTCATAGTTGGTTGCTTAACGTTCAGTGGCAAATATTTTATGCATATTTAACGTGCAGAGAGCGTGGCATTCTTTCTACAAGAGGCACCGGATTTAACGTCCCCACTCTGACCGGACGTGACTTTGTACTTGTATATCCCGCACAGCCAAACGGACGCCCGACTTTGGCAATGGTTTAACTGCCGGTCGGAACAAGACCAATAGTGACCATATTTCTGTTCCAGTAAATATAATATCCCCTTGCTATCATAAGTTGGTCATAAAACTAAATTGAGCATCCTACTTAATAAAACTTCAATCAAATATTCCGTACATGTCCGTTTTTCATACGTATTTGCATAGTTAAACGTTAAACATTTCAGAAAAAAAAAACATTAACTGATTCAGTAAAGTGTAATCATATTTTTTCTTAAAATGTGTCCTCATAATTTCCATTTGATAACATTCTACGGAAAGGTGTCAAAGTACTATCAGAAAGATGCATCAGTGATCTGAATTTCAACCTCTGACAAAAGTATCTTGACATAAATTATAGAAGTATGCTAAAAAAATGAAAACGCAAGTCGTGTACACCTTTTACATCGTGTTTGAAACTCTTGTTTTAATCTTATAACTTATAAATCAAAAAAGAGAATATCATCTCGCTTCAGATTCCATTATTTTATTTTTTTAAACTTAATTTTGATTTAGTAGCTTTAAGAATTCACCCTTTGAGAGATAAATATATGGGTCAAGTGAAATGACGAAGTAATGATCGGTGCATTTAATTACCGATAACTTAATTAATTATTCCCTTGAAAGGTTGTTGTCAATAAACTCCTCAGTCCCAAATTTAAGAACAAAATATGTAAAGAATTGAAATAGCAGATTGTGCTAATTTTTAAATAGCATCTATTCCAACAAAGTATGTGTATTCAACGAGCAAAAAATTCATGCAGTCTATGCTCCCTCCGTCATCCTTTAATGCAATATGTTAGAGATACGGTCAGACAGGTTGGTTATGTCGAGTAATGTCATTTTATTGGAAATCTCTATAATGTGCAAACACCTATTACGTTATGAACAAATACCTATGACATTATGTGCAAACACCTATTACGTTATGTGCAAACATCTTTTACGTTATGTGCAAACACCTATTACATTATGTGCAAACACCTATTACGTTATGTGCAAACACCTATTACATTATGTGCAAACACTTATTACGTTACGTGAAAACACCTATTACGTTATGTGCAAGCACCTATTAAGTTATGGTAAACACCTTTTTAACACAGATTAAAACAGAACGCTGTCGTGACATAGAAATAATAGCAACGTAATAGAAAAGGAGTCGATGACCAATCATACCCGCCCCCCCCCCCCTTCCCCCCTCCTAACCCACACACAAGCGTTCTCTGCTTATTGATAATACATCAATGATATATACATTTACTGTATTCGAAAATTAAGGAAATCCAATGAATGTAATATGTTAAAAACAAAATCCAACCACATTTCTTTACGGTGAATGTGAACGGAGAATAAATTAATGCTTTCTTTCACGTCCGGCAATCGGGTCATTATATAGGTCGCTATAGTTTGCATACATACTAAATACACATATGGTTTTGGAAAGCCTTAACATTTTGGCGAGTAATAATATATACTATGACGGACAGGTCGACTGTGTTACTTTATAGTATAAAATAAAACAATAAAACAATTAAACAACCAAAAACAAATTGAAAAGAAAAAATAACCAAAGCAAAATAAAAAACAACCAAAAACAAATGATAGTTCCTAATGAAATGTAAATTATTAACTGATAGATATTTTTTGAGTTCATGATATTGTTTAGAAATTTTATCAGGTTTTTCATCTTGTGTCGTCTGTGATATAATTATAAAATTGAAGCATATCTTGATAAAAAAGTCCACTTTTTGAAAGATTTCTCGCCGTAAAATCCTACTCTTAATTTTGGATGTCTATACTTTATCCTGGTAAATGTTTTGCGGTAGTTTCCAAGAAGTGCAGCCGGAAAGAACAATAACCATTCCTGTTGTTTCTCCCGACTGCACCCCCGGACTAGCGTGTGTAAAGATAATTTAGTATTTAAGATTATTGACTATTGGCGAAAAAGAATTGAATATGGTCCCTAAATTACCTTCCCAGAGAAACGTGTGCCAGTTTAATGCTACCAATGTAATGACGTCTCCCACGATTGATGTAGCAGATAAGGAAACCTTTAAGAATTTAGATTTTATTGCCGTTCATTTCCCATAACAGTCGTGTATATAATTCTGAACAACATTCCAAAGACACGTCTCTGACGAGGGAAAAATCATTTCTGTCATCAGAGGCGTATTGTGATCAGGTGGTCCACCCTCTCTTATCTCGGACTTTTTTTCAAATTAACAAGGATTTTTGGCAAAATTTGGATTGAGCTCCGCCCCCCCCCTTTTCCGTCCTATTTAACTGCTTATAGAACCAAAAAAAAACTTTTCCAAAATTCTGATTCCGCCACTGGTCATTGACTTGAGAAATCACCCAGTCCTACACACTTTATCGCCTATTCAGATATATCTATACTATTAAATGAAGACCTCATTTTGTGTGTCGCTTTTCTTCCTTCCACAATACAATAAATTAATCATCATGCCTCTGTGTCCTATAGGTACATTGCATAGTCGCATTTGTCATCCTCGCTTATGATTATTCAGTTTGGGTTATTTTGGTAGGAAAACGAAAATAAAGGCGTCCGGATATTTGTTGAAAAAGAATTTAAGCTTTCCCTTTCGTCTTTAGAGTCTGTCTCAGTCTTCTTTTCGTTAAATAGGACCATTTTCTAAAAGAATTTTGCCAAAATATTTCGTCGATTTTAAGGCGATCCAGATTTCATCAATTCTAGAGGGATCCGCCTTTTTAGGACAATTTTGGATTGAATCATATGTAGCCTTCTTTGGTCAACACGATAACAAAAATATTGAAAAAGAATTCAATGGGTACTCAATATTGGCATAGGGTTGAAAAGTCTATAGCTACAGTTAAAAAAAATGATTGATTCTGTGAAAGTAACTTACAGATAGTTTTATTTGTGTGGGGCAACTCTTCCTCCATTATGACTTTATATACCAAGGAGGTTAACTTCACTCCCATAGGGTTTGCACTACTATGCCTCGCTAGCAATTAATATATTTTTTCACACTTTTACGGCAACCGAGAAAGGGGGCCCGATATTTCTAAAGTGGGCAATATTTAACAGAAACTGTCAAAACAATGTATATTTTAGAATGATTACATTTAGATCCAATAGAATATATTTGTATGAAATTTATAAAAGTTTAGTTGTTTCAAAATTTATATTCTTTAAAGTAAGATTTCTCAGATGTGCAGCAAATCCCTTATATGAAAAATTGCTTAAAATGTTTATTTAGCTAAATTCATCAATTGTGAAACCATTTGCGTTCATAACTTTACGCATTGAAGCTAACCGTTAAAACCATATCCGGCAATAATATTCATTAAATCTATGACTCTCCGTTCGGAGAGTACGTAAATGTTTCAAATTTAAACAACGATATTCGTTGAAATGATGAACAAACAGATAAATTCATATCAACAACGGTGGAATAATGTCTTGATTATATATAAGCGATTTATTGATTTCTTAATTAAATGAATAAATTATTTAACTGTAACCTATTTTCTTAAAACTTGTGGAAAAATGAATTGGGGTCAAAAAATAAATATTCTAATCAACAAAACACTTTTATCAAAAAAATATTTTACCGTTTGGTAGAAAACAATAACAATTAGATAGAATATGTATTTTGTATCGTTCTTTGTGACACAGTGCTACATAAAATAACGTCTCGACCAGTTACTGTACCAAAAACGGATGAATCAAAGTCATTATCCGGAATTTCAGTTTGCAGGATTTAATAGATAGTATGACCAGTGAAGGTGATGCAAGGCTGCTAACACATATCATTTAGAGGAATTATGTGTATGTGTCATTTTTGTGGACTACAGATAAGGCAGTTTACAATATGAAAAAAAAGTTTTTAAAGAAAATGCAGCTTTTTAATATACCCTTTTGCTTGTCATGCACATTTCTAATCAAATCTAAAGAGAAGAATAAATAAAAAATAAAACAATATATCAACGGCAAGTTACGCTAACATTATGATTGGTCCCCTGGGGCCAGTAACAAGAACTTTTCTCTTAAAGTCCCCGTAAAATTTACGATTGCACAAAGAGTGAGCTAAGAATCTTTAAGAGTGTAACAAAAACAGTAATAGGCGTTTGCATATAATGTAATAGGTATTTGCAAATAACGTAATAGGTATTTGCACATAACGTTATAGATGTTTGCACAAAATGTAATAGGTGTTTGCAAATAACGTAATAAGTGCTTGCACAAACCGTAATAAATGTTTACACATAACGTAATAGGCGTTTGCATATAATGTAATAGGTATTTGCAGATAACGTAATAGGTGTGTGCACATAATGTAATAAGAGTTTGCTCAAAAACGTAATACGTATTTGCACAAAACGTAATGGGTGTTTGCACATAATGAAATAGGTGTTTGCGCATAATGTTATACGTGTTTGTACATAACGTACAGATATGTTGACATAACATATTGGTTGTTTACTGAAAGAATCAATTGCTTGGCATAACGCAAATATACTATACCATGGCATATAACATTGTTCACAGAAGATACATATGAATAAACACAACATAAAGCCATTATAATATAATATCATGAGTTTTTATAGAACAAAGATGTATTAAGACAAAGCGTTTAGAATATTCAACACAACAATCCCATTTGAGACAGGACGCAATTATTAACTGACATACTGTAAGAAAGATGAGGAAATGTGAAAGAACGTAGAGTAGGTTGATCATACAGTTTAGAGGTATTTACAGAATATACAGCAGTAACAACATAATGTAATGCATATTGCACATAACAAAGAATAGCAATGACATTTCATACAATTGTTTGACAAAACAAATAAGTAATTTGACGTAACATAGAGATGCAGTGTTAGGAAATAAAGGCACTTACACATTACATAAAGACGAAATGACAGGACGTAAAGACAAAGCGACAAAATACATCAAATATCTACATTATAAGACAGTTACGGCGTTCCATACACATCTAGAAACTACGATCACATGAATCTTAACGCTTCTTATAATAGCAACACCCCAGTTTTATTAGATATTTGCAACGACTGGTTTTGGATTAAATCTGTTTACACGTAATGTATTTCCAAGCCTCGACATTTGATACGGGTAACTGCTTGCACTTTCTGGTTTTGAAACTTCATCTAATGTCTCCATCTGAAAAAAAAAATAGAAATTAATTTTCACTGAGACTACTATAACACATGTTATAGTAGTCTCAGATTTTCATGATTATTATTCTAACTTTTTTTGAAAATACCTCACGATGTCATTTTCGATTGATATCATATGATTCAAATTCACTAGAACATTTTAGAAAAAACAATCTATATTAACAATTTGAAGACGAGACATACAGTATCCAATACAGTTTATTTCTTGGGGTAAATTTCACCTGTACGGCACCGTGTTTATTTCTCAAATATCTTTAACAGTTTCAAGCTTAATATTATTAGTTTGCACATTATTTAGTCTGAAGGATACAGCATTAACATTTTTCACAAAAAGTGACCTAATCATCTTTAATCATATGTTTGTAACTTAGTATGGATGAACGTACATGACATGTTTGTGCTGTCAAATCTTTTAAAAGTTTTCTAACAACTCTAAAGCATAACAACCAGGCATCAATGTCTCTGACACAGAGACAACTATTTCAGATATGAACTAGTATGTACAGACCAGTATATGCTTTGAAGAACTAGCATGTATAAACCAGTATATGCTTGGAAGAACTAGCATGTACAGACCAGTATACGTGTACAGCTGGATGGGACTCTTGTATACTATTTTGGTTTGTAAGTGGAACACGATATTCCATTATATCTTTGTTTTTATTTGGAACCTATGGTACCGAGTTTGCTAAAAGAAATAAAACCTACATCTTCTTTAGAAATGCTCCAGCCAGTTGCTACAGACATATTTTCATCTAACTGTTTAATTGATGTTGCCCCGATTATTATAGATGACACGACGTCTTTCTGTAACAGCCACCTCAACGCTACCTGTGCCGCTGTTTTACCTGAAATAAGAAAATACAATATTATGTTTTATGTTATGTTTTATTCTTTATTTAGTTTTTTTGGGGGAGTCCATATTTTGTCATTTTGATCAGGGCGATTGCGAAAATCTTTGTACTGACATTTTAAAAATAGGGCATGTAGCTCGAACTAAGAGAGTTTTGAAAGCCAGGTAGATGAAACCAATAAACAAGCAATCAATAATGCATTGTATTAGATTATGAATAAAACTAATTATAAATGGGAATAAAATTACAATAATAAAGGTAAATGTGTGTACCGTTTGTCTTTGCTACTTTTGCTACAACTGCCATGATATCCCAGTAAGTGTCCTTAGCGAATTCCGTCCAAAATGAAGCCTTGGAATTCTTTTCCAAATCATGCGCTAAACGACCACTCTTTGGATCCATCTTTTCATCTCGTTTGTATTTTCCAGTGAGCATACCACTTAAAGACAAAGTTGTCAGATTATAATGTGTCATGTTTGAGAGGGAAACGTTTGTACGTATATTTCCTCATTTTTTTCTAGGGAAAAAAAACTCTTGTCATTGACTTCCATTATTCCGTGTACGCTCCGTTGAGTTAAACATGACTTACTACACAATGATACAAATTGTTTTAATCGACGATTTGTATTTAAAAAGAATAATTTTTAAATATTTTTCTTTGGTTCCAATTTACAGGTAAATACATGCAAAGCATAAGTTTCTTAATGACATTAGTTGAATTAGGCAGTAATTGAAAATGTACGGACTACAACGAGACTTTTAGTTGGAACTTGTGCGGTTGATACAGTATATGCGGATTCAAGCAGTCTATGCATTTTCTGTCCAAACTTTTAAATACACACTTTTTATAATTTACACAAACTCACAATTTCATCAATTTAATATACTCATACCTGCTTAAAGGGCTCCATGGTAAAACACCCAGTCCTTCAGTCTTACAGACTTGGAATTCTTCCAATTCAGGATGTCGAACTAACAAGTTGTATTGTTGCTGAAAAGTACATGACAGGAAGACACATTACAAGATTTTAATATGAAGTCCATACCATTCCTGTAGACAAAATAAAGAAAGACGAAAACTAAAACATCCATTTTATACTTTTTCCTTCGGGGCGATTAACCTAATCTAGAGAATCATCCTTTTTCCTCATGTCATAGCAATCAGGAAGCTAACAATTCCAATCACAATTCAAAAATCTATCAGTTTACTTATATTGACTAAACTGAGGCACACATCTACCCATCTCCTGAAGACAGGACGTTTAGGCACATACCCACTTTTCATCCGATTGTGTGTGGACTTTATGTACTGTAACAAAATATCTAAAACTGGAATATTGCCAGTACCATGTCACGTGGTACTTGGCAAATAGTGCCCTCGAGAATTGATAGTTCAACAGCGGTGGTAAGAAACAAATGTATTATGATGATCTCAATTCGACCAAATTTTACTTTGTAGTACTATCCGTTGTTAAAACTGTGATGTTGGCCAATAGTAATTTCGACTAAACTATATTAAATTCAGTATCAGTGGATGCCATATTTTGAATTATTAGGAGGACCGTAATGGTACTAGAAAAAGTGCAATAATTTCAAAGCTCTGCATGCAAAAACACAATTATGCATGCAATAATAACAATAAGTAGGTGGTTTTAAGCACATGACTGACTTTTAAATTCCATGAGTAACCAAGTAAACAAATAGTCGTAAAAAAATCGTACCCACTTTTTGAATGTCCTGGTTTCTTGTTAAATTAGTTTCTATGAAATATTGGATTGGAAAGTATGCACACACCCAAGAAATTGGTTTATATTTATTAAAACATGCAATCGTCCCGAGCCGCACGCGCAAGGAGGGGGGGGGGCAATTAGTATGTCTGTCCATCTGTGCGTAACACACAAAAATACGTCTTGGTACGAGTATAAGTAATATACAATGTATACTGTCATTTTGATTTGTAAATAAATCTTGAGATACTGACCATATATTTTTTTTCATGTTTACTTCTGTTTAAAATGAAAACAATTATCAAATTTTGTAACGAACAAGTTTACATTTTGCATGGTTATGATTTTGGAAATATGCGTACATTTGTCGACTTAAATTGGAAACATGTATAGCGTATGCAACTTCCAATTATTGCTTGCAGAGTACAATACCATTTCAAATTGAATTGTTTTGCTCAAACACAACCTGAAGAACCAGGGTTGTTTTTGTGTTTAAATTTCTTGAGTACATACACAGCTATAATGATTTACATATTTTCAAGGTTTACATAAAGTGTAACCGCTTCCTCTGCATAATCGACCGTACCTTTGACACCGGTAGGTTATATCACGTGTTAGACATACAATGTTGCTATGTTAGAAAAGATAATTGGTATTTGCCAAGTACATACCTGCATGCTAATAAAACCTGTCAATCCCATAAACTTGGTATAATCAACAACTTTCTGTGTTTGCCATCCCAGCAAATTTGAAACCCCAATATATCGAATCTTTCCACACCTGACCAGATCATCAAGAGTCCTGAGCGTTTCTTCAATTGGTGTAGCATCGTCCCAAATATGTGTCTACTCATTAAATCAATAGAGATTAAAATGTGCATTTTTATATATGAACTTCAAATAAAAATTAAAAAAATAAAGCAATGCATATCCGATACAGATCCTGTATTTGAAGTTTGGGGAAGGGGGTGAGTGGGCTACGAAAACTAGGCAAAATGGTTGAAATATATTTTTTCAATTTTCATGTATGACTAATCCAGTCGTTATATTCTGCTCATAATTGACCACTTCATAACCTTGTAAGAACACTGACCGATAGAGGCGCAGAATAACTCGACTTAATGTTGCAATATATTTCTGCTTAGTTTAGGGGATTTACTAACTACATGCAAACTACACTAGATAAATCATACCGTTCATATAATCTACAATGTTTTATATTGATACAAATATAGTCCACTTGAGATATAAATGTCCTTTGAACAATTTAAACCGACACTATTCTAATATCAAAATATTCGCTTTGCCAAAAACTATAGTCTAATTATTCTCACACTTTGATTTAATGTGTCAAGATGATTAATCTAATCTTTCAGGACGTGTAACTAACGAAACATATAACGGACTCAGTCAAAATTAACACTATCACGACTAAGCCTTCAAAAAAGCTTATCTGACTTAGGCACGTATCGAATGTGAACAGACGTGCGATACTAGACGTTAGTTCAACTTGCGGGTATATTTTGGATTCAGTTAAGTTGGGCATAGATTGTGTTTAGATAGGTGGGGCTGTCTACAATATTTACAAATCTGTAATTCTTATTATCAGGGGCGGATCCGGACATTTTTAAAAGGGTGGGGGTTCCAACTCAGGATAAAAGGGGGTGGTTCCAACTATATGTCCCCATTCAAAAGCATTGAACGTCAAATAAGGGGGTTCAAGTAGTTAGAAGCGGGGGATTCCGCGGCACTTTATATTTTTAGGGGTTAGAGATAAATTTCAAATAGGAGGAAGAGATGAATTTTGAAAGATAGGGGTTCGGATTAAATTTCAAATAGGAGTAAGAGTTGAATTTTGAAAGTAGTACTACAAAATTGAAAAAAAAAATACTATAAAGACTTGAGAACTATAGTATAATAATATGATGGCTTCTTTGATGATGACTTTATGAGTGTTTGAAGACAAGGTACAGGAACAAAAATGAAGATATTTTAAAATGGAAAGACCTTGTCACCGGGGTTATTTACCAAATTGTAGAAGTGAGTGAAGTAGATGGTAAGTTTGGTAAGAGTAGTACACTTACCATGAAAACTAGGGAAAAGGACACAACAAGGGTGTGGGCTTGCAGTGGGTTAAACAGAGAAAAAGAACCATTAGAAGGTGCCTCTGTAATGAGTACAGGGATTAAAATCAGTAAAAAGACTAAACAAGAGTATTTTACATACGACTTGGTTAGAATGTAAGTAGGAATGAATACCCATTCATTTTTTAATCTAGGATACACTAGATTAAAAAATGTTGGTACTTAATTTAAAAAAATGAAAAAAACAAAAAAAACTTTAAAAGGGTGGGGTTTATAGTATTATATTATGATGGCTTCTTTTAACAATGACTTTATGAGTATTAGTGCTTTGGAAGAGAAGGTACAAAAACAAAATGAAGTGAAGGAACAAAATAATGTTATAAAATGGAAAAACTTTCCAACTAAGGTGTGGTATTACATAGTTGAAGTAAACAAAGTAGATGGTAGGACTATATTGACTTTAAAAACAAGGGAAGGAGATATAATAAGTGTGTGGGCATGTAATAAGTTAAACAAAGAAAAGGCGCCTTTAAAATGTGCTTACATAAGAAAAACAGGTTTTATACATGAAGGATTTGGTCAATATCAATCTAATGTGGCTACTTTTTCATACTACTTAGGTATAGACAATGACAGTGATGGGTATGGGTTTAGGTCTTATTATGTTTTGTCAAAAATGTTTGAAGCACTTTTAAAAATCAAGACATCTTAAGTGAATGCCAATTCATTTTCAATCTAGCTAACACTTGATTAAATAATATTGGTAATACATTTAAAAAATGGAAAAAAAAACGTTAAAGAGAAGGGTAAGTAGTAAATAAAGAAATGAATACAGACAACATGCCTGGTCCATCTGGATTAACATCTACAACACATATACCAAGTGTAAGTTGTTGTGATCGATTTGTAAAAACAGATGCACCTAATGCAAAGTTGCAGGTAAACATGACTATAAAGCAACTTCGACAATTGGCTAAGTATAAGGGGTTAAGTAGGTACAGTAGGAAATCCAAAGATATGTAAATCAAGTTCATTGAAGAAAAAACCAACTATAAGTTTATTCGTGAAGAAGTGTTTACTAAACAGAAATTGAAAACACTTGCAAAAAACAAAAGTAAAACTAAGTATTCTCGGTTAAGAAAAGATGATTTACAAGATTTAATAAAACCCACCTTAAAAATATATGATAGAAAAAAAGCATTAAAAGGTACCTTTCGCACAGTTATGATTGAACCTTTAAAACCTTTTGATGTAGATATGTTTTTAAGGCAAGTAAAAGCAAAACAAGCAAAGCAATTACAAAGTCACTTATGAAAGATAAGGATTTGAAGGTGCAACTAGTTCTTCGAGTAGAATTGGTAAAAACTAACCCTGCCACAGGTGACAGCACTTATGTGACTAAATATTCTAGATCAAAAGAAGCGACTATTACAAAAGCAACAGACCTTGATTTAGACATTGCATTTATGATGGAAAAGGCAAAAAAAAAAGCATGGTAAGATACATGCGTGAAGGTATTGGTTGAACATTTAGTCCCATTGAGGAATTAGAAAGTCATATAAACAAGCATGCTGAGAGTATTGCATGGCAATACATAGTCCCCTACCGGTTAAAAATTCATTGTATTGGAACAAAATGCTAACTTGATCTATAACTTGTCATGGTGTAAACTATATAAAAAATATCAAGTCAATATCTTCAAGCATTACGAAAAAGAGTGTTGAAAACTGATTATTTAAGTGAATTTTGTAAGTCCAAGGACCATAACTCTGCACAAAATATTCAGACCTGAACAAAATTCGAACTTGATCTGTAACTTGTCATGATACAACTATATACCAATTATCAAATCAATGTCTTCAAGCATGACGAAAAAACGTGTGAAAAACGTATTATTTGAGTGAAGTATCTAAGTCCAAGGACCATAACTCTGCACAAAATCATCAGACCGGAACAAATTCGAACTTGATCTGTAACTTGTCATGATAAAACTATGTACCAATAATACATTCAATATCTTCAAGCATGACGAAAGAAAGTGCGGAAAACTGATTATTTGAGTGAATTTTCTGAGTCCAAGGACCATAACTCTGCACAAAATCATCAGACCGGCACAAAATTCGGACTTGATCTGTAACTTGTCATGATAAAACAATACACCAAATATCAAATCAATATCTTTAAGCACAAAGAAAAAAGGTGTGGAAAACTGATTTGCAAGACTGACGGATGGACAGACAGACAGCTAACTAGCTAAAAAGAAAGCCATAATTAATGTACAAAGTGTTTTCAGTGGGCGGTGCTATCAGCGTTACACCACGAAGAAGTGGACAAAAATTGTACTAAGCGTGTAAGTCCATACATCAAATGGGAAAACGACCTCAACTTTGACAGCATTTATTTCCCAGTATCATTAAAATCCATTAACAAATTTGAAAGACGAAATACAGACATTGACATTAATGTTTTTGGTTATGATGGTGTATAAATAGATGAGTATGAAGAAGAAAAATTACAAGTGTAGCCTTTAAGAATTTCAAAGAATACTGGCACAACACATGTAGATCTTTTATTTTCAACCAACGCTACTAAACAACATTACTGTTGGATTAAGAGTATATCACGTCTTTTAACATCACAAGTAATACATCATAAAGAATCGGTTTATTTGTGTCAAGACAAGACATTTAAATGAACACACGGAGTATTGTAATTCAAAGGATGCAGTAAAAATCGAGATGCCAAATGAAGGTCAGCGTATTTATCTTAAAAACTATAAACGTAAAATGCGTGTTCCTGTTGTTATTTATGCTGATTTTGAAAGTTATTTAAACAACATAGATACTTGTCAATCTAATGCATCAAAACCTTACACGAATGCTTATAAACGACATACACCTTCAGATTTTCATTACCGAGTTGTTTATACACATAAGGAGACTAAAAAAGGACTACGGTACCATGGGGAGGAGGCTGCTAAAAATTTTGTGGAATGTATGGAAGAAGAAGTCAAAGACATTGCAGACATGTACCAAGACGAAAAAGACATGGTGATGACAAAAGAAGATGATGCATGTTTTAAAGCGAGTACACGTTGTCACATTTGTGATGATGAATAAGGGATTGACAAAGTACGAGATCATGATCACTCAACAGGTAAGTATCATGGTGCAGCACATAATAAGTGTAATTTAGACTTTCAACTTCCCACCTATTGTGTTTCATAATTTAACAGGGTACGACGCCCACTTGTTTGTGGAGGAGTTAGGGTTTAATGACCGTAAGATTCACTGCATTCCTAACACGGATGAAAAGTAAATTAGTTTTGTTTCTAAGAAAGAAGAGGGGGGTTTAGACATGCGATTCATTGATTCATGTAGGTTTAAGCTAAATTCACTAGAAGAGGGACGAAAGATACCAGAGGGACAGTGAAACTCAAAGATCGAAAACAAACTGACAACGCCATGGCCAAAAAAAAAAAAAAGACAAACATACAAATAATAGTACAGATGACACAACATAGAAAACTAAAGACTAAGCAACACGAACCCCACCAAAAACTGGGAGTGATCTCAGGTGCTCCGGAAGGGTAAGCAGATCCTGCTCCACTTGTGGCACCCGTTGTGTTGCTTATGTTACTACAAATCCGGTAAATAGTCTTATTCGGTAGGTCATATTCGTGAAACGCGAAGGGTATTGTAGTTACGACATAAGGAACATATCCGATATCATCTGTGAAACGGTTACTCCATAACGGTCAAC